TAGAATACGAACAATCGCAATATACATTTTATAAATGTAAATTATGTATAAGAAATTCTGTGCATTTACTGCACAGAGAACTAGAATCTTTGAATATAGAATAAAACTATATTCAAAACTAATATGTAATAATATAATTAGTAATTATTATATCATTGTAAATAAATATATATATATATACGTATATTCAATGTTGTTTAATAAATAATCGTAGATTTCGAGTTCACCAACATTCACAAGACAAATTATGTACTGATATCAGGTGCCATTTCAAATAGTCTAGACCGCTTTAAAATAAGAAAACTAGAAGGAAGACCGTTATTACTACCGGAAAACCGAGAAGTAAGACCAATGAAGGACAAGGAAATAATAGTGGCGCGAACAGCTTCGGCACGAATTTTGAAGGTAAAAACGGAGATGAGAGACATCTGATTAGATCAACTCAATCGAAGTTTGATGGCACCAGTAAATAGTCTGAATGTAACGTACATAAGGAACTATATACTGTGTGACAACAAAATTAACATAATAGTAGCATGGGGCGGCAGTTCGGACAAAATCATATTACAAGAATTAGGATTAACAGAATTTCCATTATTAAATTTACGTTGTATTTTATACCCATCTAATGTTGAATATGACTGCATAAGATACTGATAATAACAAAATATTTTCAATCAATACGCCGCGCTCGATATCTCCAATCATTACTTTTGATCATCTAGGCACGGAGGAAATCGTACAGGTGAAACGACTGTGGTTTGCATTTGGGATGATGAAAACGACGTGTTTGATTTGTATTGAACACAGAAAACATGCATATTGTGCATGTTTAGCATAGCGTCGATCGTATAATTGTGTGTACGTACAGCAGATGCATTTGAAAACTGTGATGAAGTAAGAGAAAATAAAACTATTAGATGAAAATGTAGAAGACCAACGCATATTCTGAATGTATTCAATCAATACAAAAATTTAATTAATTCTAAATTATTTGAATGTGATAATTATGATATACAATCTGATTATTTGTTTGGATCAATAAAGAAAATTAAAATGAAATACATTTCATAAATATTGGATGACAATCACAAAGGATTAAGACAAGATACAACGTAGGATGAAGATGGTAAACCTTAGTACAGATTCATTGTAAAAATACATTATTTTTTGTTGATAATAAAACATTTAAAAATAATAAAACGAAATTAATAATCAAATTATTTTATAAAAAATTATCAAAACAAAATTTTATTTTACGCTTGTGATGTTTTTATAAATGGTCATATTATTTAATTAAAACTCTTCCATACGATATTTTTTCATAAAACATAAAAAATAATGTATGATATAATATTTTTAAAAGAAATATAATTTTTTTTAAATTTTTTTTAATAATGTTTACTACAATATATTAACATTGTAGCATAAAAAAATAAATGTTTTTTTTTCAATATTTTTCTGGTAGTTACTTATATTTAAAGATAGGTATTTACATATTTACCACGTACCCAATTAATAACAATAATAGCTTAAGTTACATAGATAACACTCATTTGATTCCTAAATTATTTTGAAATACAGAATAAAGATAAAATTAATTATACACACTATATAACAACTACTTTTTTAAATATTCTTAACACAATGCATTACAACTTGTTCACTGTTAATATACCGTGTTTCCTATAACTCTGTTATATTTGGGCATATAATATACCAGTTGTGCTTAAAATACAAACATGCTTTTACCACATAGGTAAGCAATTTAGCTAACCTTTACAACCAAAAATGTATGTTTCAGATTTGGGTTGTAATTTAACTTATTTATTCAAATATACATTTATGAGCTTGCAGATTGTTACACCACGCCAGGGGCTCATACATATGCGTTCATTGAGTAATACATCAAATCATAGCTAACTTGACCATATATATCATCAGTTGAATTTTCAACTTACAAATATTATACACAATAATGTTAACACGTATAAAACATTTTTTTTTTTTAGTTTGAAACATTGTATATCAATGTTAATGCATATGTGGTAGATAACAAAAATAGCTATTATATAAGTATACACAATTAATAGTTAAGTTATAATGTATCTCATAATAAAATAAGGATTCAAATATTTTGTTTTATGAAAAATATTTTAATTGTAGCTTATGTAAAAACCAGATAAATTTTTTAATTTATAATTCATAACCAAATTATATCATTAATTCATTATTTTCAATTAAATATATATGTTACTATTATACTGTAAATTTACCTATGAACAAATAATCATCAGCAAGCATAAAATTATTTTTACTTGATATAATAATTGAAACTATTCTTAATATAGATATTTTCATGACAAAAAAATGAAAATTGTATTTGTAATAATGAATTTAAATTATCACACCAATTGTAGAAGTTTAAAGGTGACCAGTCATTACAACAACAGGTAACCTTTGTAGTATATTACAACAACAAAATAATGTATTATGGAACATATGACAATGTAGTAGGTTGACCATCCATATAACTACACTGTAAAAAATGTTGTTAAATTTCAACATGTAATAAGTTGTATATGATTTAGGGGTGGAATGTGTAGATGACTTAAAATTATTAAATTTTGAAGCTGATCTACAAGGTATAATGAAAGTAATACAGTGTCGTAAATTAAACCTAGAACTGTCAAAAGGTATATTAAAATGTAATACTCTAAGCAAAAATATTCATAACTGATTTAATAAGTTATTTAAAATTGCAGATGTTACAATACATTGTATTTCAAATAACAATTCCCAAATGCAATGAAAAATAAACAATTTGAGGACAATGCAGAATACATATCAAAACAACTTTCGCATCATATATATTATTTAAAAAGAAAGGAACGACACGAGTTAAGACAGATTGGCTCATTACATCAACATTCTAGTGGTCCTTCAAGAATGTTCAACCAAAAAAAAAATAGATTTGGAACTCATCCTGAGCGATTTGCACCAAATGATATGCCAGAAGGAGAAAACACTAGTACCTTAAACCAAAAAAGAGCCTGGTTAAAAGCAACATACATGTTGGTTGATATAGACTGGAACCGCGTCAACAGGTATTATATTATATTAATAATAATCTAGGACTCTGGTCATTTAAAAAATTTTTGTGATAAACCTTTTTTATTTTCGCAGAGAGACCAACAGTAAATGGGATCTTTAGAAATACTGTTTTAAAATATTTAATAAGATAATATAGATTTTGCTATACATATATATTTAATTATATTATTTTATTATTTTTATTACTTGACAAGACCTTTTCAAAAGATATTTCTGGACATAGTAGGCAAACTACCTACATCCTATAGGAATAACTCTTATATATTAACTATTCAAGATGACCTAACAAAATTTGTATTAACAATACCTTTAAATGACCATACAGCCAATACAATGGCTAAGGCATTTGTTACTAATTTCGTATATATTCATGGGATACCTATGAATATATTAACAGATAACGGTCCCGAATTTGTAGGTGAAATATTCACAGAAGTATGGAATATTCTTAAAATTAATTAAATTATGTCTAGTGTATATCGACCGCAAACAAACGGGGCTCTCGAACGAGCTCATAAAGTAATAAAGGAAATGCTTAGGCATACAATAGATAAGCGCGCACAAAATTGGTGCGAGCACCTGCCATTTGTAATATTTGCATATAATTCAGCTATACATGAAAGTACCAACTTCCAACCATACGAGTTACTATATGGTAACCCAGTCGAGTTACCGTCACCTTTACAAAAGCGAACCGAACCATGTTATACATATGATAATTATGCATATGAAATGAAACAAAAAATGCAAGCAGTATACGGACTTGCAATGGAACTGCTTATAAAGACTAAACATCAGACAAAAGAAAACTATGTTAAAGGACAGAATGAACAGAATATACACGTAGGAGATTAGAAAACGCGGTACAAGAGGAAAAAGTAAGGACATTCTGCAATCAACTAGTGATATGCATACAAAAATAATTATAATATTAGGAATAATGGTAGTTTATATTTTATATGGTGCATATAAAAATAAAGAAAAATACCGTAGTCATAGAATAGTAGTTCCTAGAGTAGAAGTAACTACATTATAAAATATTTAACAGGAAAAAAAAATATGAGTACCGCAAGAGAATTACTTAAATTCATGGACCATTTCCATTTCACGCTGTACGAAGATGAGCATTCGGTACAATTACGTGATGGTAGTCAGACGCCGGTCTGTCTATTAAAGCATTTGGCGAGGGCCAACCAGAGAAGCGGGTTCCTTTTAAACAGGACAAGGATACATGCGATACAAGACGTTTTTACCACCTTTATTGATTGGCAGAATGAGGAAAATTTCAAAATAAAATTAATAAAATGGAATCTCGTTCAAACGAAACGTTCATCAAACGAAAAATTGAAGAAAAATATGAATTACTTGAAAAAACTTTGGACGAAGGAGACGAAGAAGAAAATATACATAAAAACAAAATTAAAACATCCACCAAAAAATTCAAAAATTGAAATATGAAAGTGTCCTACTTAATCTTACCGAAGGACATAATTTAATATGCAAAAAGAAACATAAAGTAACTCACGCCCATGATCCACGCACAGATGTCATATACACAAAATGTATATTCGATTACGTGGTTAGGATATACAAGTATGAAAATCTGATAAGTCATTTAGAATACGAACACAAGTACAGTGGAAGGGAATGAGGAAGGATGTACGACAATATATAGAAAAATGCAAATCATGTCAAAAGAATAAAAATTCTATTATAATATTAGGAATAATGGAAGTAATACAGTGTCGTAAATTAAACCTAGAACTGTCAAAAGGTATATTAAAATGTAATACTCTAAGCAAAAATATTCATAACTGATTTAATAAGTTATTTAAAATTGCAGATGTTACAATACATTGTATTTCAAATAACAATTCCCAAATGCAATGAAAAATAAACAATTTGAGGACAATGCAGAATACATATCAAAACAACTTTCGCATCATATATATTATTTAAAAAGAAAGGAACGACACGAGTTAAGACAGATTGGCTCATTACATCAACATTCTAGTGGTCCTTCAAGAATGTTCAACCAAAAAAAAAATAGATTTGGAACTCATCCTGAGCGATTTGCACCAAATGATATGCCAGAAGGAGAAAACACTAGTACCTTAAACCAAAAAAGAGCCTGGTTAAAAGCAACATACATGTTGGTTGATATAGACTGGAACCGCGTCAACAGGTATTATATTATATTAATAATAATCTAGGACTCTGGTCAT